AGTGGAAGACAGGAGGGCCTGGTGTGCTCTGGTCCATGGGGTCACGAAGAGTCGGACACAACTAAACGACTAAACAACAACAATTTTTATTCTTTTAAATGTTTGTAAGCTGCCTTGAGCACTATTCTTTAGTGGAAAAGCAAGGTATAAAAAAACAAACAAACTTTGGTCTTGCACACAATGGACTCCATAGACTTCACTGGAAGCATTAGTTGTAAGACTGGGGAGATAAGACAGACAAGCCTAGAGGCAAGTCCTAATATCCCTTAATATGGGAAAAGAAGAAATGTGAGCCATATTTGTTTTGAATCAAAGATCGGGCTTGTGGCCACCTCCTCATACGTCACAGAGGGGACGCCACTTCACACTTTCTTTCTCTTAACACGCTGCGACCAACCACACACAGATATCTGACTCCTCAGACAAAGGTATGGATTTTAAAAATAAAAATTATTGTTTATTGGTACAACTTAATATAAGGTAAATCAATATATGAACTGAATATGTCAATCAATAAAATAAAGAATCCCTTCAGTCACTATATCACTCAGACCTTATCTAACACAGTACTTCCTAACATACATGCCCTAACTCAAACTATCTTCTCATCCTAGCTAATCTCCCACACATCATTCACTCCCCCCTTATATACATAGCTCCACCTCCTGGAGTCCCACCTCCTGCCCTGCTGTAGGCAAACGAGCTCCAGCATAACATTGATAGGCAGGTGACGTCATCGCAGCCGTCACAGGGCTGTAGTGCAAAGGTCTCATTTGGAGTGTGGTGAATTGAAGTACCAATGCCATGCATCTGGGCAATTTCAAAACATGGACCACTTTTCCCATAGGACAGCCAATCCTTTGATATAGCTATTATTGCCTTGGTGGACTGCAGTCTTGCCTCCATAAATGTAGTCTTCAGTGGACAATGGATATGACTTTTTCTGATTGCTACAGAGAACCAGATTGCTGAAATGTTTCATTATAATATTGACACAATATTGTAGGTGAGACTCAGTATGGGCTCTAGCCAGTCACTTGTCTCTGCAAGGAAAAAGGCACTCCTGGTTACAGCTGATATTTGAACCTACATAGAGAGTGCTGGTTTCAGTACTCCAAGCTGCAGACCCAATCCTTCAGGAGTGTAATCCCATCAACCACAGGTAAATTTCCTTTAAACTGGTCTGACAATCATTTTAACAATAGGATATACATTTTATTTGAATTCAGTTTCAGTTTATTGGTCTTTGTCCTGTTCATTATTGCTAGGCAGAGCTCATGGACCTTTGCAGCATCCCTTGCAAATGATGTGAAGGACAGAGCTATGTGCTGTCACCAGTACCAGTGTACTGGTGACAGCAAACCCCAAATCACCAAATAACTTATCCTATGACTTCATGTAGATGTTAAAGAGCATTAGGGAGATAGTCGACCCCTATGGAACCCCATAGCAGTGATTGCAAGAGCGATCGCTTTGTGATGTTCCCTATGGGGGAATTTCGCTTTGCGATGATCGGTTCCCTGCTTTGGGCACCGATCATCGCAAAGTGATGATTTTTGAACAGCTTATCAGCGGTTTCAAAATGGCCGCTGGGTAAACAAAATGGCCGCCCGCTGCGTTTAGAGACGGATTCCTCGCTTTAGAGGCACTGAAAATGGTGGCGCTATGGAGGATCTTCGCTTAAAGGCGAGTTTTAAGCCCATAGGAACGCATTAATCGCGTTTTAATGCGTTTCTATGGGCTTTTTAATATCGCATAGCAATGTTTTTGTTCTGCAGCGATTTTTGCGGAATGAATTAACGTCGCTATGCGAGGCACCACTGTATATAAACATACATGCTGTACTAACCAGAGCCAGTAGAGGGAGAACATATCACTTTCTGTTCTCCATTACAGAGTAATTATGGAATTATATTTTGCTAGAAAACAAGTAAATAACACTCAGTTTTATTTTAAGAGAAGAATATTGCCTTGAGGCAAAATTATCAATCATCTAGTAACCCAAATGTTCTTGGACTGTAACTCCCAGAAACCCTGGCCAGCACAGCTAACGGTGAAGCTTCTGGGAGTTGCAGTCCAAGAACACCTGGGTTACCCAATGTTGGGAACCACTGATCTAGTATGAAAACGGAATGGTAAAAAATGTTATGCGTAGCACAGATGATCATAATGTATGTTTACACTGGAAAGTCTACTGACATTGCACATATTTCACTATCACCTTCCCGAAGGAATACATCTAATTACGACATATATACCGCTTTCCCCAAAATAAGACCTAACCTGAAAATAAGCCCTAGTATGATTTTTCAAGGTAATATAAGCCCTATCCTCAAAATAAGTCCGAGTTAAGTGAAACCTCACCCTCCACCATTGTGCAGCAACCAGAAGATTACTACATAACTGTATTTGAATAAATCTAGATCATTGTACATGAAAAAAAAAACAAAAACGAAAACATCTCCTGAAAATAAGGCCTAATGCATTTTTGGAGTAAACATTAATATAAGACCCTGTCTTATTTTTGGGGAAACACGAGCTAGGAAATATTTTTCTCAACCCACACATAACTTCAGGGTGAACACTATAACAGAATGTTGGCCATTAAATTGCATACTGACCATGTATTAAATATGTAGGAATTTTCTCTGAATACAGAAAAAGAATTGCAAAGTCCAATACCCTGTTGGGAATTTTAGCACACTCAACTAACATTGCAGAAGTGGATCCACCAATGTAAGAAGTTTGCTGCATGACTGGCTGAGAATGTGGGCAAATTTCCAACAGAATACTGGCTGAAAAGCTTTTTTCTATTGCATGTGGGATTTGCAACAAAGGAAGTTATACAGCAACCTTTTAATCAAGTTACTGTATGTTCAGATGCAGTAATGACAGTCTACAAACAGGGAATCGTTTAAAGCCATCAGTTTAATAAATACAATATACATATATGTATACATCAAATGCAGTCACATGTATAATTAATTTTACATGTATTATATACATGAATGAGAGGTCCACATTCTTTTTGATAAAACTATAATTCTGTTGGCAAGAAAGGTTAAGAGATAAAGATATAGAATATTGCTGAAAACCAAAACACTAAACCTTCCCACCTTGTATTTCCATATGTGAAATCAACAGTTTCTCTTCAGAATATCTAGTCATGTGGAATTTTCAGATGTATTAATGTTTGTGCTGTGCACGCTCATTGACAAAGTGCTAGAACATAAAATCATGCCTACCTGCTTATTAAATACTTATGCCAACTCCAAAGTAATTATAATCAGATCTGGTTACATGCAGTTTATAGTGTTTTCTCAATCCAAATGAAATGCATGATTTTAATCAGAAGAATGTTTAATCATGACCATGTTTGATGATCTGCTGCCTGGAAAGTAACCTTTTGCTTTCTTAAAATGTTGTGCAATTAAAAAAGCTCATTGAAGTGACTAGTCCCTTTTCTCCATTTATATATTCAAAATAAACCCAAAGCACACCCAAAAAATTATCTCTTACACCAAATTTCAACTAATTAAATATATTCAAGTTTTCAAATAGTTACTTAGAAAAGAGGAAATATAGCGCTTAAAATGTAAATTGTACATCAGAGTGATTTAAAAAAATATACAGGAGGAAGAACATACAATAAGAAATTAAGGGTAGTACTACTATGAAGACATTTTGCATCAGTGGCTACTATGGATTTCATCTTGCAAATCTTTTCCTGTTCTTGCACCATTCTACATCTTTACATACTATACATGATATAGAAATATTTAGAAGTGTTTTTTTACCAATATATTGATCCAACTTACAAATCTTGAGGTAAAAAAGGAAGTATGGTTACAGATGTCTACTCCTCTCCCGAATCCTCATAACTCCACAATATGTTAGAGCAGTGGTCCCCAACCTTTTTCGGTCCACGGACCGGCTGGGGAAGGCGGGGCACCCCCTGCGCTCGCGCGCATGCAGAAACAGTGGTGCGGCAATTGTCTGGGCGCGCGCAGCGAATACGTGCGGGGGGGAGGTCTGTCTTAGTGGCCCGGGCCAGCTCAGGCCATGGACCAGCACCGGGCTGCGGACCGGGGGTTGGGGACCTCTGTGCTAGAGAATGTCTAAAGACAGAAACATCACATGCTGGATGTGTTAAAAGTCTCTTTCTTTCATCATAAGAAAAAAGACTGATCAGCATTATGCTAGAACTGATTACATAATAGCAACATGAAATATAAGCATTTTGGTTTTTAAATAACTGACTTTTACACTGTGGAACTGAATATTTATCACATTCAGTGTTAACAGAGTGACTTAAACTGACATGAACAATTTCCTTTGCATTCATTACTCATCTGTACCTTGCAAAAAACTAATGCTCAGGTTTCCAAAACTTTATGGCTAATTAGATTTTGTTAGCATTCACCTGCATTCAGTGTAGTTTGTGATGGTTGGTTTCGCTTTCTACAAAAGAAGATGAAAAAACAGAAACAAAATTTCAAACTTAGGATGGGATCAGCACATTTGTAAATGTTCAAGTGCTCCTCATATGCCAGATTCAATGAATAACTAATATGGGCTAGTCTGCAGTTCTCTGATCTTGGTGGTCTCACTCTTCTCCACATGGAGAGTGATCGGTCTGCAGAGGAAAATCCATGTTATCCATGGAGGCTTTTAATGTGGGTTGGCACATGTGAATCAGTGGACAGTAGGTCTCTCTTCTCCAGATGTGTTGCTCTCCAAATGGAGAAGAGCAATGGCACCAGAAACAGAGTGGGGCAGGGCTACAGAGCTTCTGTCTAAGTTCTAAACACCTGAACAGGGCAATGAAGTTTCCGAATTATATTTCTTCATGTGATCACTTTGCCACGGTTTTAACATGCTGTAATTTTGTGGACATTTTGCAAACAATTTAGCAGCTGGTAATATGGATTTCCAGGTGAAGCCACCACTTCAAATACAGATTGGAAGGCTCTGCGATCCAGTTCTTCATCTATCTGATGTCGGTAGAAGTCTATGGCCACCAAGCAGAAGAGGTTGACATCTACTTGTTCGGATTTTCCCATTCTGCTGATTATATGTGGAAGACTTCAGAAAAAGTCAAGGATATTAACAAAAACACTCTTGAGATGTTTCATATTACAAATTGTAACTGCATCATTCTCTAGCAAGACTAAGATTTAACAATTAAATTGGTTCTATAAATCAGTACAAAGATATCCTATAAAGTGGTGCCTTCCAGAAAAATCTCCTGTTTGGCTATATTTCTGAACTATTCCATAACATATTTTCCTTACAGGAGTGTATATGGCAACTCTGTGTTTTGCTCTCAGGCAACTGCAAGGATCAACTGTAAAGAGACCATTCACATTATTCTACATTACAATTCAACAAAGCCAATCACACACAATCAAGCCTTAGTACAAGAAGGTGCAAAATGGGTATTACATTGATAAAACATGGTTATTAACCAGTGTGGTGAAATATGAGAATTCTTTTTGAGGATGATGAAAGATCATCCTTCTATTGATTTTCTCCTGGGAGTATGATAAGAATATTCTTGTTGAAGTCTTGTTTCAGATGTTACACTGCATTAAGTTGATGACATACTTTTTCAGAAATAAAACACTTCTGATTTTTCCTGCAAAAGTCCCGAGATTCCTGTGTGTATATATGTGTTCAACTGTGAAGCCTCTGTGTGTGTATGTGTGTGTTTAATTTAAAAAAATTGTCATGAGCAGGATTCCACAGGAACCTCAGTATCTTGGGGTGGGCAGGGTTAGGGGAATCAAACATACTTTATTTCCAAGAAGTCCCTTATCTGGTGTAACTCATGGAACAAGATTTCAGCTCTTTAATGCTTAACTGCTTATTTTAATAAAAGCTGGTGTCCCACTTAATATAGCAATTGCTAAGAAAAGTTTCAATACATTGGGGTTATTTGTACCCCCAGGATTCTGGATGTGGTGTTTACGTTTTCTCCATCTGGTTGGAGTTCAACTGTTCCCAGTCCCCACTGGAAACTTTCAAATCAAATGTGCAAACACACTAGAAAATCTAACCCCTTTATTGTAAGATAATGCAAAAGTATGAAATGTCAAAGGTTAAGAAAGGGCCGTATCAACTTTGTATTCTGAGGACTGAATGCCAGTGGGAGAAATCAATGTTTGGTATGCGTTTGTGTGCATGGACAGGATCAGTGTCTCACTCACCACACCACAAAGACAATCATTCTCCATTTATACACACATTTAATTCCCCCCACACTTTCCCTCTCTCACACAAACATGCATGCACAGTCATACCTCCCCACTGTATCTAATGGAAAAGACTTGCACATTCCTGCCCTCCTTCCTACAACTGTGTTTCATTCAGTTTGCTGAAGAGTTGTTTGATGGGCTGGAGAGAATGCAGTTTCAGTGGAGAGGACAGTAGTAAGGATGACTCTCATTTCCATGAAAACATCGGTGGCACTTGTACGGACTGTTCTAAAGGCCTCCAGTGGTATCACATGAGCCAGAGACTGACAACATATGAGCTAAAGGGTAAAGGTGCTCTTTTTTTATCCTTTTGAAGTCAGCTGTGACTGCAAGTGCAGTAAAGATGTATTGCCTTAACGCTGTATATCAGTACGATCTGTTTGTTAACTTCCATTTTGTTTTTCCTGCTATTGCAGTGATGAATTCAATAAAAGTACTGAAAGTTTTTGGAGTGGTCTGTCACAGAACTTTGCCCTAAAGATTACATCTTGATATGACAACAGCAGCAGCTATAGCAAAATCTAAACTGTTTCACTAGTCAGACTCCAGATAATCCTTTGCTGTTCCTCTGACTAGAAAACTGCATCTGATTCTCAGCTATAAAAGCTATGACTTCCTGGGAGTCATTACACTGGTGGTAGTAGCCTTGACTGAAAACTGTACTGAAAAAGCAAACCTGCTAAAAATGCATCTGACAAACAGCTATGTAGAATATTTAAAAAAGAAAACAAAATGATTTGTCTCTAGCCCCTACACCAAGTTTTATAAATCTTTGTCTGAGGAAGAGTTCTGGAGAACTCATAAGCTAATATTGTCTGTAAATTTTTGGTGATTACAGAAGCATTACCCAACCAGGAACTTTGTTTTTATATACGGATCATAAGGCGGTTCCTCATACATCCAGAATACATTTTGCCTCTTTATAAATATCTCAGTCTCCATAAGATGGACTATTAGCCATCAAATATATGACCCTAAAGAATAACAGAATTTAATGAACAGGCTCATATCACCACGAAGAGGTCTCAAAGCGATTTCACAACTACTTCGGTGTGCAACTGCTACCCAGGTGTCTTAAAAGGGAAAAACACTAAGGCTACCAGTGGGATATCTTCAAGAGAACTGAAAAAACATCTTCAAAACTTAGAGAAATTGTGGAGCTTTGGCATTCTCTGGTCCATAGTTTTCTTGTGCCAGAATTAGCCTACTCAACTGTAACACTGTATAAACTGTTGTTAAAAGGGCACAGATGGAGATGGTGATTGCCCTGTCTGTGCCTTTGAAACATGTCAGCCCAAAAACTGACAGTCTCCTCTAGCTAAAGGTTCCAGAAAACGTTGGCCAGTATTCCTTGGGAAAAAATTGGTGACAAAAACTGAGCATGCTTGAGTTCTTCCTACATAATTTCTTCCTAAGACAGCTCCTCTTCCTTCACAAGAGGTACTAGTTCTCTCACGTACTCCAGAAACGCGTGCCAAAAGATGTTATTATTGTTTTCCCATATGTCGACGTTTCACCTTTGAGGGTAATATTTTGCATGTATATGAGAAATGACTTCAGAAGATTGCTCCACACTCTAGCTTAACATGCCTTTCGATGAGCCACAATGTACATTCAGATTTTTGCTTTAAAATATTTTTTATGGTCAAAATACACATCATCTCCTTTCCCATCCTACCTAATGTTGATTAAATAGAGCTGTGAAACTACTTTTCATTTGGTTGTTAGACTAGTGATAAAAACTTTGACCTAGTGTACTTTCTTGACGGACCTTGATCAGAGGGGCACACTAAATGGAATGGAAAGCAACTCACTATAGGTAACCCATTGCATTACTGGTACAGTTTCTCAAAGAGTGATGATTAGATTATACAGTATTAGCATGAAAAAGGCAATCGGAAGCAATTCTGTGCTGCTAGACTCTATTATTCAAGAATGAGGAATCTTGTAACTGAATAGTCTCTCCTGTTTTCCCTTCTGGCTATCAAAGATAACAGTGCAAGAAAGTAGTGTTGAGTACTGCTCTATACTAATGAGATGTATTTTCTATTAGGCAAAGAGGAATGGGGAAAAGACTATTCATTGTCCCAGCCAAGTCCTTAACTGAGACAAAGAGACAGAGAGAAAGTTCAGACATATAGCAGTGAGCTAGAAGCAGACTCTGCAAAGACCATGCTAGCTGCTATACAAAGTTGGCTAACCTGGGAAATCCACTTGTCTTACCATCTTTACAAGATGATTCTGCCTAGTACCAAGAGGAACTATTTTTTTATTCCAGCACCATTAGAAAAGAGAAAGATTATTATAGAATTCTGCAGAACAATACATATTGCATAGGATACATTGCTGAAATCCATTGGCTGGTGGAAGCACTGACAAAGAAACAAGACAAACTCCACATTGCCATAGCAACAGGTGTTCTCTGTGTGAAGTTGGACAGTGACAACATCACCCAATCACGGACCATAGAAGATTGACCAGTGGTATGCAATCTCTGAAATACCTGTAAGAATTAAAACAGATAATTCATATGCATTAAAAGCTCTCCTGTAAGGGAAACACAAGAAATACATAATACCCCTAGGTCATATGTAAATGTTGTGGTTGAATTCTATTTCTGTACTGATTTCAATTATATATTTAGGCATTTTATAGCTGTCTCTTCAGTTCAACATGGATTCTCAAAACAGCTCACAAAAATTAAAAATATATAATGAAATATACAAGAAGCAACAGTACTAATCAGCTGTACAGCAAAGAGAGTACAACAAAAACAGCAGAGACTATTACTGTTTGCTTAGTGTGATGAATTCATCACAACGGGCTGTTACTGCTTCCCTGCATTTGTTTTAACCTAGAACTTATAACTGCATGAAATCCAAAAAAACCTGAAAAAAAATACCACACATTATAATGACTAAATTAAACAAAAGCAAAATGGAAATGTGGGAAAATACTGTATGTTTAATAGTAGTTACCTTACCTTATATACTACAGTTGCCATAAACTGTGGATATGGCTGCTGGTTAGATAAGAATTCTCCAATAACTTTATTCATTACATCTTGTGGAGGGAAAAAATCATCAAGAAATTGAGGAAGGATCCGAGTTACCACTCTGGCTTCAAAGGGAAACCCTTTTCTGACTCTAAAAATAAAATGGCATAACAGTTACTAACCATCTTCACATTGTTCAGATGTGTCAAGTGAAACCCACTTCTATTCATCCTAATTAGTGACTTGAACAGACTGGGATTGACAAAAGGGTTCTCCTTTGTTCTGGATAACACTCCCTTCAGAATGTTGTGGATGATTTCCCACTAGACCTCTTCAATTGAGGTAGATATAGTTAGATCAGTGGGCCAAAGCCTATAATGAATACTTACAGTTGAGCTGGAACCTTCACACAACCCATCTGGAGCAAGTTAAGTTCCCAGTCAATGATTTCAACAACAAGAATTACTCCAAAACCACCACAGGACCTCAGCAGGTAACAGGGTTAGTGCTGCCTGAGAGTCACAGTTCTTTGGGAAGCACCTTTTCTAGAGCCTAACAGGCAGCAACACTACAAATCCCAGGAAACCCTGTGGCAGTTTCCTTATTTATTTATTATTATTATTATTATTATTATTATTATTATTATTATTATTATTATTATTATTATTATTATTATTAACATGGAGAAGGCCATACAGGCTCCGAGGCAGGCACTGCTCCAGATAAGCATAATATATCTGTTAGCAGGTGGGCTAAAAACCCTTGCATTCTGCCTGGGAAATTCTTGAGGAATACTGGACACTGCAGTCTTAAAACACAAAAATGCAAACCCCGGTACTAGCCACCATATGCTATGCAGCTATGATCTCAGATGATCTGTTCCCCTCCTGCCCCTGAGCTCAAGGTGCATCTGGTAGACACAAGTGACACAGGCTCAAAAACAGGACTTTAAACATGGCAATTCCCCTCAACATATTTAATTCTGCCCTCAATTTTGACTAGTTGTATGCATACTGTATACTTAACTGAAAAATGCCATGTTCTGTGACTATTTATTATAGCTTTACTCACCACAGTTTACACCAGCTAAACTACCTGCAGTTTTTAGTAGAAGTCTACAAATGTATGGTTGGTTCTACTGTTGACAGATGAAAGTAATTGCTGAAAACAATTTCACTCTTGTTTAATACAGAATATTGATAAGACTTACGTTTTATCTATATACTGAAAAACAAGTGTGAAGTGACGTTTAAATTGTATCTTAACTAATGTTACATATTAATAAAACCAACACTTACTACATTTGCTTTAAGATTGAAATTTTCTACCTGTCAAAAAGAACAGAAACTCGCTCCATGGCCACAATTACAGACTCACTGTCTGGGGAGGCTTGACTGTGTTCTGTAACTCGCACAGGACTAATTTTCTCTTTTCCTAAAAGCAAAGAAAAAAGCACAATGAAACAGTTTTAAAATACAAAGGAATGCATTGTGGGGCAAAATACTGTTGTGCAAATTGGCATAACTGAGCTCAGGACCTAGAAAAATTTAATTTAAACTAAAGGAAAGCTTCCTATACCCCAAACATTCAGACTCTGAGGCTCCCCAAGGCCCCCTTTTGCCCTGAGGAAACCTTTGGGAATCTCAGGACAGAGGTGGGAAGCCTTGAATTGTAAAAAATAGCTGCTGGAATTCTGGATTGGGACCATGGGCAGTGATTTATCAGTATTAAAGGCATCCCAACCTTTCCTCCTAATGGCTTCTTTAGAGCACAAGAGAACCCTAGAGAGCATCAGAACCTGCAAGGAAGAGACAGGAAATTTTCTATTAATTTAATTTAAATACTTGTGGTGCATGATCTGGGTTATGGTGACATAAATTTATGCCAACAGGATTTTGCCCTGTTTTGCTAAAGGCCAGAATAATTCCCCTAGAACACAAATTGAGTTACCAGGATGCATCAGCTAATAGCTGCATGTGGCTGCTTACAGTCTGCATAATTAGCCCCATTCCATTTTTTTCTTCAATGAGTAAGCAGCAAAAATTGTTCATGCTATTTCTGTGATAGCTTCAAGAGTTGAACTACCAAGGGGTTTTATAATGTTCTATAGTGCTCTGAGAGTATTGTTACACTTTTGACTTTGACAGATTTGCCATCTTGCATGCTAGCTTGATATTCTCCACAACCCACTTGGCTAGTCTCTGGGAGGACACCAGGTTGCATTTCCTTACGGCCTTGATAACAAACAGTCTGAATGACTTCCTAAATTCCATCATTCGTGAGTTATAGAAGCACATTGCACATCTAGGTTATGAAGAGATTTGCCCAGAGGTGGAGAGCTGAAAAAAAGGTAGATAGATAACACTTGTGAAGGTTCTGAATGTCATTGCCAGACCAAAGAGTAGGACCTGAAACTGGTATAACTCCTCTGAACAGAATGAAATGGTAGTGAGGGAGATGTGAAATAATGAATCCTCCAAGTCTACAACAGCAAACCAGTCTCTTATTGTGTAACTGAAGAACAGAGGTGAGGGTCACATGCAAAACTTCTTGGGTCTTACCTACTTGCTTATACCTCTGAGCTCAAGTACAGGATATAAATCTCCATCTTTTTTCAGGACTGTAAAGTAACAGGGATAATACTTCTTCATTTATCTCTTCTTACGGCACACAATGAATCACATTCTTTTGAAGTAATTGTGCTATTTTGTCTTTTAAGATGTTGGACAGAGGAGTAAATCAAAGATTTCCTGTGGACTGAAGCTTTTGAGACCCTGTGGCATAACCATGAGAGATGATAGATACTACCCAAGCTTCTGTGGTGACAGTACAACAAGTGTTATAAGAGACACTAAGTAAAAATAATATAGAAATAAAAAGCAAAAAAATGACAAACAGGTGGTGGCATCTTAAAGACTAACTTTGATCTGTTTTTTTAATGTGAGCTTTCGTGAACAAGTCCACTTCATCAAACATAAGAGAAACAGATTCAACATGGAAATATGGCATGGTATGAAAATATAGATATCAAATGCAGAGATCATGGTTGGTTTGTAAGAAAGTCAGTGGGAGCATAACAATGTCATGATAACATCTTTGCTATGCAGGTCTTTCACTGAAGCTTGTGCTGTAAAGAATGCAAGAACCTCAGTCACAAAATAACAATGGTAAATATGGCGGAATGCCCAAGTCATGCCTGTCCGTCATATGGAGCTCTAGGGCAGGAGCCTATGGCAGAACAGGAGGGGTGGAGTCAGGAGAACAACTGGAGACTGAGGAGGGTTAGAGGAGAGTTTTTGAAGTGTTAAGACTGAGATTGGAAAGATGGTGTGTGTTAGAGAATAGATAAGAGATAAAAGTAATAGAAAATAGACAGTCGTAAGATATTGTTACAGTGGTTAATGTGAATTAATACAAACAAGCAAACGTGAATCCTATCCAAGTTAATGACTGAACAATAAAAGAACATCTATGACTTTACTTCTGTGACTTACCAATCAAACAATAAATAAACCTGTTATATTTGGCAGCCCGGGTATAAGATTCATATTTGGTACAGAGTGGATAAAGATCCACTGGTGGCAGCATGTAAAGGGAGAAAATAGCACATCATGTCTGAAGGTGGACCTGTGTTTGAGGGAAAACAAATAGGGGACACTGGGGGAATGTGACAGTAGAGTAACGTGAATGTTAATTAGACTGGCTATTTACAATCCTTGATGATCTTTCCCCACTACAAGCTTCCATTTGTAATTGGTTGCAATAGTGTATGAATTACCTCAGGCAATGGATGACCACAAGGGTAGAGTCAAGAATCTGTTTTACCTATGAAGTTGAAAATTGCTCTTGTGGTCACCCATTGCCTGTGATAATTCACACACTATTGCAACTGATTACAAAGGGAAGCTTGTAGGAGGAAAAGATCATCAATGGATGTAAACAGCCAATCTAATTAACAATACCAATGGAGTAGACTTGTCCATAAAAGCTCACATTAGAAACAGATAAAAGTTAGTCTTTAAGATGCCACCATGTTTTGGTCTTTTTATACTTTTTATTTCCATTTTGTTGTTACTTATAATGCTTGCACAGACTAACATGGCTATCCCTTCTATAAAAGGCTCTAGATGGCCAGCAGAAAGGGTAGATGGGAAGGGAAGACTTGGTTACTTATATAACTATGGTTCTTTGAGTGGTGATCCATGTATCCACACAAAATGGGTTTGTGCGCCTGCACGGCACCACGACGGAAAGTTCCAGGGTCTCAAAAATGAAAGTGCCTCTAGCCAAGCACAACCTACTCTCCTCAGTCCCAGTTGTCCACTGCAAGAAAAAAGAGTAAGAGTGGAACAAGAACGGAGGTGGGTGGGATTGTATGGATACATGGATCGCCACTCAAAGAACCATAGTTATGTAAGTAACCAAGTCTTTTTCGCTGTGTCCATGCATGCACACAAAATGGGTGACTAGCAAGCTATACACTGGATGGGGGAATTACACCAGAACTGAAGACGTAGCAGCCCTATCCAAATGCTCTACACAGATCTAATCTGTAGTGTGTGACAAATGTCATCTGATGGGACCAAATTGTTGCTCAGCAGATCTCTTGGATGTCAATGCTTCAGATGAAGGTCACAGATGAGGATATTGCTCTTGTGGAGTGACTGTGGAAGGTCTGAGGCAAGGACTTGTTTGCTAGTTCTTAGGTCAGGGTGACAGCCTGAGAGATCAATTTAGAAAACTTTGAGACAAGACTAGGTGTCCCTTCTTGGGACCTTGGTAGAAGATGAAGAGTTTAGTTGTTTGCCTAAAATACTTTGTTCTATTTAGGTAAAAGGACAAGGCTCATCTGACATCCAAGGAGTGGACAGTTTTTGCAGAGAATGATAAAAGGCAAGTAAGATGATGGTTTGAGAGATGTGGAAACAGAATGCCATCTTGAGTAGGAAGGTAATATCTATGTGTAGAATAGCCTTGTCATGGGAGAAGATGAGGTATGGTGAATCACAGCGAAGGGCCATGACTTCTGCAGCCTAATGGGCTGATGTGAGGGCCACAAGTGTGATCTTGAAGGTCAGTAAGTGAAGGTCTGTTGTGGCCAGTGGTTCAAAGGGGTGCTTAGTGAGCTGTGATAACACTAGTGAGATAATGGATTATAAGGGGGTCACACACCCAGGCAGGCATTCTGGAGGTCCTTAAGAAACCTCTTAATGGTTTGATGTTTGAAGAGATGTGACAATAGCTGGTTGGCTGGTTGATGCACCACTATGGCTGCCAGGTAGACTTTGGAAACAGATGAAAAGTCCCTTCCGTTTAAGGTGGAGCAGGAAGGTTAGGACACTGGAGAGGCTGGAACTGTCTTCACTTATAAGTGTAGAGCAAGGTAGTGGAGGGGTGTCTCATCTGCCTCAGGATATTTACGAGGAGAGGCATATCCTCCAAGCAGTGAGCATCAGATGAGTGACATCTGGGTGAAGTACTGTGCTGTAGTGATGGGAGAGGAGGTCCGGGTGTCAGGGCAGCACCACCGATTGGTCGCTGCAAGGAAAACGGCTCTGACAGGGTTTGCACCCCGCCTGCTCAGGAGCAGTAACGGGGGCATCTGAAGTTAGTGATGTTGGCAAAAACATCAACAGAAGACACACCCCAGTGGGAGATTAGCTGACCATATACTTCATTGGAGAGTTCCCATTCATGTGCGGTCATTCTGCAGCTGAGCCGATCTGCCATCTATCTCATCTGTGCTCGAGATTTGAGTTGCAATGAGAATCTAATAGGCAATGCACATTTCCCATATGAGTCCTGTCAGGAAGAGGAGGCTGAGGGACTTGGTTCTGCCCTGTTTGTTCAGGTAGTGCACTGCCATAGCATTGTCTGTGGCAATTTGGACAGTGTGTCCCTATATCATAGTTCTGAAGGCTTGGAGGGCCCTGGATGATAGTGTCTACCTGTGGTAGGTGCAATTGTGGCATTGATACAAACTCCAATGTAGTGGATGGTTTGGGATAGGATTTCTCTGTATTGACTTATAGCCTAAGACTTGAGAGTAGTTACAGGATGAATGCAATGTTGGTAATTAAAGTGTCTTTGTTGTGCGCTACCAACAGCCAATTGTTGGGGTAGAGAAAGACGGTGATGCCTTGGGTTCTGAGAAATGCTGTCACTGGCACCATGTACTTGGTGAAAATCCTTGGGGCTGCGGATAACCCAAAGGGAACTGCCCAAAAGTTGTTAGGCCTGATGGTCAATGAAGAAGCTTGGGAAGCAATGATACTGTGGGTAAACTGATATATGAAAGTACACATTGCAAAGTTTTATGCATGTGAACCATATGAAAGTACATGTTGTGAAGGTCTATGGATGTGGACCAGTTCCCCCTAGTGAACCAGGGGGAGAATGGATTATAATGTCACAACCTGGAGTGATAAACGTGTTGGGGGCACACAGATTCAAGATGAGGCATAGCCTTCCATCCCTTTTTGGTAAAGTACTGGAAAAAGAAACCAGCGGAGGTGTGGTGGAGAGGTACCATTAAGATGGCTTCTTTATTCAGGAATGTGTGGATTTCCTCCTGGAGGACAGTAGAGGGTGGGGTGTGTTGGACACAGTCCATGGGTGGAAGAGTGGAGAATTCTACTGCATATCTGTGGGTTATGATGTTGATGATCCATGCATATGAAGTATGGATGAAGAGTGCTAAGCATATGTCTGTAGTTGTAATGTGGGGTGATGGTGGTAGAAGGATGTGTGCTGTTGAGTTTGGGTTGAGGAGCAGCAAATCTGGTGTTACGGTTTCCTGCCTGCCTGTATGGAGCAGGTTGTGTGCTTGTATTTGGCAGAGGAGGCTGGGGTAAGGCCTTGGTGAGAAGGAAGAGTAAAGGAAGAAGGGAAAAAGGAAGATAGAGAACTTGTTAGAAAAAGGAACAAAGGTAAGTGAAGTGAGGCTCTGGAGCAGTCCTTCGTATGCGGACAAAAAAGGACTGAGGAAAGTGGGCCCATGCTTCTGCAGTACAGGCTAGAGGCACCTTCGTTTTTGAGGCTCTGGAACTTTCTAAAGTCATGGTGCACAGGCACACACACCCATTCTGTGTACATACATGGATACCATGAAAAAGAAGTATGCTTTATTTAAGCTGTACGTCTTCAAAATAATGCAAAGATTATGTTTTAACTTTTTGTCCTGTTTCTTAGTGGAGCCAGAAGACTTGTACCTTGGCTGTTGAGAGTGGTTCTTGTAGTATTGTAGAGTTCATTGACAAAAATATTGTGATTGATCAGATGGTAATTTATATTTTGTATAGGAGTAGGATCTATGCTACGTTTGTCTAAACTGCCTGGATGACAGTTGATTTAGTAGCACAGAAATCATCATAAGCTTAGCTGTCATCCATTTCTTGTACAGATCATCCATTAGCTCATGTATCTGGGTATTAAAAAGTCCCACCCCATCAAAAGGGAGATCCTCAGTAGGAGCTTTGGAGTCATCTGAAATGTTACACGATTGCAACCAAACATGTCTTCTCAACATAACTCCTGCCACCATAAGCTTAGCATTAGGGGTGTGTTGGACACAGTCCATGGGTGGAAGAGTGGAGAATTCTACTGCATATCTGTGTGTTATGATGTTGATGATCCATGCATATGAAGTATGGATGAAGAGTGCTAAGCATATGTCTGTAGTTGTAATGTGGGGTGATGGTGGTAGAAGGATGTGTGCTGTTGAGTTTGGGTTGAGGCACAGCAAAACTGGTGTTACGGTTTCCTGCCTGCCTTTATGGAGCAGGTTGTTTGCTTGTATTTGGCAGAGGAGGCTGGGGTAAGGCCTTGGTGAGAAGGAAGAGTAAAGGAAGAAGGGAAAAAGGAAGATAGAGAACTTGTTAGAAAAAGGAACAAAGGTAAGTGAAGTGAGGCTCTGGAGCAGTCCTTCGTATGCGGACAAAAAAGGACTGAGGAAAGTGGGCCCATGCTTCTGCAGTACAGGCTAGAGGCACCTTCGTTTTTGAGGCTCTGGAACTTTCCAAAGTCATGGTGCACAGGCACACACACCCATTCTGTGTACATACATGGATACCATGAAAAAGAAGTATGCTTTATTTAAGCTGTACGTCTTCAAAATAATGCAAAGATTATGTTTTAACTTTTTGTCCTGTTTCTTAGTGGAGCCAGAAGACTTGTACCTTGGCTGTTGAGAGTGGTTCTTGTAGTATTGTAGAGTTCATTGACAAAAATATTGTGATTGATCAGATGGTAATTTATATTTTGTATAGGAGTAGGATCTATGCTACGTTTGTCTAAACTGCCTGGATGACAGTTGATTTAGTAGCACAGAAATCATCATAAGCTTAGCTGTCATCCATTTCTTGTACAGATCATCCATTAGCTCATGTATCTGGGTATTAAAAAGTCCCACCCCATCAAAAGGGAGATCCTCAGTAGGAGCTTTGGAGTCATCTGAAATGTTACACGATTGCAACCAAACATGTCTTCTCAACATAACTCCTGCCACCATAAGCTTAGCATTATAGTCTGAAACTTGATGAGAGGAGTGTATCTGGCAGGTTGTCAGATTATAAGCATCTTGTTGCAATATAGTTGTGCCAAACTCTTCTTATCTATTGGCTATTGCTTCTTAGCCTTTTGGCTAGGATCAAGTGTGTAGGTTGTAATTTCCCCCAAATATACTGATATGTTCCCATGCCTGCCTGATAGGGGACAATTCTTATACCCAGAATAGGTATCAAATAGACTTTGTGTCTCAATAAGTCTAGTTTATGCCCTTTCCTTATTGGAGGATCAGATTTGCTGAAGGAGAGGGTGGAGAAGTATCAGCCACCAGAGTCTGGAGAAAACAGTAGCTGTGAATGTTGCACATTCTCTGATTACTGGTTGTGGGTAGTATGATCTGTTCAACAACGGTTCCAAAGGAGCTGTTTGTTTCAATAGTGTACTGATTTTCCTGGTGAGTGATTTTGTTTCAATTGAGATGGTTGCATAGAGTCAGCAGCCATGAGTTCCAAAATTGGCTCCGCCAGAGGTTTTGAAACTGAGGCCAATAGCTTCCTTTTTACTATCAGTGGTGACACTGATCAAGACATTGAACTTTGGCTGTGTGGAAGAGGTGAAGCTGAGTCTTTACAATGCAGTCAAGGGGATCTCTGTCAATATGGCATGATATATCCATTATCTAGGTTAAAGGAGTTGGTGAGCAATCAGGCAAACAAGCCCTGTGAAGTGTAGATGTTTCTATACTGATCTTTGGCTTTTGATGGCTTGAATCGAGCCAAAGAATCATGACATCCATTTCCTTTTTTTATTTTTTTTATTTTTCCTGTTTATCTGAAGATGTAGCAGACTTCTTTCTCTTAATTGGAATCAACTCTGAAATAATCTTTGGTATTGATGTCAGAATCACTGCCAAAACCGACGTAGATCTGGATACTGGAGTAGGGAAGTATAGATAAGTAATATGGTAATACTATTTTGTTTGTTTGTTCTCAAACATAGAAACTAGATGAAGGAAGGAGAAAACCATGGTAGAAATAACTACATGGAAGAAAGAAACCTGAGGCAAGTAAAAGTTCTGATGTTCTCTAAAGATGCTGCATGTGCAGTAGGCTGAGGAGAACTAATGGAAAACTGTTAGAGTGTGTCTTGCTCAGCATACCAGCAAAATAGATAATGATCTCCAGACAGCAGCTAATATTCATGCAAAGAGGTTGAGGAGTGCCTGAGTGTGTCCAACACCATGTTGCTGACTCCTGGTATATGAATTAAAAATGAAAATTTTGTTTCTCTCTATAACTATCCCCACATGTGAAAAGCGACATCCAGGAATATGGTGCAGCACGTCCTTCACTGTTTGTTTAAGTAAAACATGATGTGGTACTATGGAAATCTGAACCATGTTTCCTTGTAACATCATCTCAAATGCCTGGAGTGCTTTCCAGACTGTAAGAAGCTAAAGAGCATTAATATGTATTCAAGAAGGCATCAGAGGTCATTATTGGTAATTTTGCTTAAGTAAGCTTCGCAATGACATTACTGTATTGAGATTAAAGAACTGGAGGCATCAGCTGAGTGTCAGATATTGCTGGCGATGGCTAGCTGTTTGAAATTTGAATGGAGATAGTTCCAAAAGAACCCACAAAACAAACAAACAAACAAACACAACACTGTAGAAGGTAATATCAAGGTAGTCTTGACAAAACACTTGTTTTGAAAGCCATACACCCCAACACCATTTGGGACGTTCTCTGACCACTGGTGTAGAGAGCAAGGCTTGTTTGTTCTAAGGCAGTGCTTCATTACTAGCCATGCTGTTCAGGACTTCTGGGAGTTTTAATCCAAGAATATCTGGGGAACCAAGGTTGGGAACCACTGCCCTAAGGGACAACTGATAATCAAGTGCAAGTTGCTTGCCTTGTCTTCTATGTGTTATTATTTAGATCTTCGCCATTTCTCCTGTGATGGAGGAGTATTCTACATATGAAGAGTGCCTTTTGGACACAGGGGATGAGGTAAGACTAAGACAATGACTGATTATTTTTACAGGGACAGAGCAAGCCCTTGCCCATTTACTGGCATCCCTTGGGCCAAGGAAAGAGGGATAGATAACAAAGAAGAGGTTGTTTCAGTAGGTTTGCCACTGCTTAGTGAAGCACTACGAGTCGCCCCGAGTAGACTCTGTCTAGAGGGGTGGGGTATAAATCGAATAATTAATTAATTAATTAATAACACTGTAAAGGATTACGAAACAATATAGGGATACACAAAGATATATGGTAACTGAATAGTTTCCAAGAAGTGTTCCTTCATGGAGCGCATTTCTAACACAGAAATAAATTAAGAGACCCATACCTGTATACATACAAGTCAGCATTAATCCCAATGCAGCCATAGCTCTGTGGGGGCTGTGTACATTCACTCTGTCCACACTCAGTTTAACTAATGATTCACAATCCAATCTAGACAGTTGTTCTGAAAGGAGGAGTCGTTCTAAACCTCTCAGAACACAGTGGTAAATAATGGATGGAGTTGATTCTTCACTTCCAGACAATATCACTCCACACATCTAAGATAAACAGGAAAAAGTATTAAAATCCACAGACATGCAAACTATAGGAGAGATAAGGGGAACTCAGTTCAGAATACAATAGCATAACTAAAATAAAACATTTATAAATAGATTGGAAACATCAAAATCAGGCAGCTTGCCAGGAAGGATATTACTACTTATTCTATCATCTCAAGATCTGTTTCTTTGTCAGGCTCCTTTCTCTCATTAATATTTTCTCAGATTACGCTAAAATAACTGGGCCTTGTTTCTGAATAAACTAGCAGAGCACTGCTCAACTTATTCAATGTTTGCCATACTCCCCAAAATAGCTTATTTACAGAAAGCTAGAAAAATTACTGTTACAGTTGAATGCTTCTCATTTGCCTGGTATCTATCACTATTACCATAAATACCACAAAACCTTCTGGGAAGCTGCAGACAACTTGGTTGAATCTCCTGCTAACTTTTGCAGCAGCCACCATGGGGAATGGCCGCAGTGGAACAGGAGTCAAACATACAGCCGAGTTCCACTGGTACAGATATCTTCAGAATAGCAGTTACAAAATATCCTTCCATTCACTGAGAATTTCAACCTCTATCAACTCAGAAACAATTTCAGATAGAAACAGATGTTACATCTTGTCAGCTATGATTTCTGAGAATGATTGGCAAATTCACACCAATTAATGTATGGTAGACCAGTGGTCCCCAACCTTTTCCGAGTTGTGGACCGGTTGGGGGGATGGGGTGGGGTCCCTTCGAGGGGGGCACCCCCACTTGCGGTGGGTGGGGCACTCTCTTGGAGGGGCATGCTCATATGCTTGTGCAGAGGGGTGGGATACGCTCGTGCACATGCGCAAAGGAGCAGGGTGCGCTCACGGAGGGTGCTCGTGGGTGGGTGGGGCACCCGTGCGTGCAGGTAGTGGGCCGTCCATGTGGGTGGGGTGAGTGCATGCGGGGAGACGGGACATCTGTCTCCACGGCCCGGTCCTGCCATGACCACGAACCAGCACCGGGCTGCGAACTGGGGGATGGGGATCCCTGTAGTAGACTACTGGACAGAGACGGACATGATTAAAGGCTGAAATGCATTTCCTTTCATTTATATTTCACCAGTCTGAAAAATACTAATTCATTATCCATTTTATTTCTCAAGGTAAAAAACAAGTATAAGGAAACACAAACATATCTGTACAATTCACACATACCTGTATAATTCCAGAAGAGAATTCAGGTCCTACATCAAGTGGATAGTTTTCTATTAAATAGAATGCGACCGCACACATTACTAAAACATGCTGCTGGTTATGGATATTAACACAGCTGGTAAGGCAAACAAAAACAGGATTATCAATGGCCGGACTTTTGCCTTCAAAGTGTTAAAAGTATTTTACATTTGAATTCTAATGGAAGTCTAGAACTCTTTTTGACAAGACTCAAAAGTAGTATTGCAAAAGTTATTTATATGGTGTCCCTATCATTTCAAAGTTGTTGAAAACTTTACCTGAAATGCCTATTCAAATAGGCCAGACAGCTTAACCACAGTAAGATACACTGCTTTTCAGTTGAACAGCTCAGATATTCTGTAAAATGACCACAGCACAGAGCTTACTATGATAACACTTACTGTGCTATTCCTCTCAGATTAGAAAGCAGATATTCAGTGATGACTGGAATGAGCTGCTTTGCTGTTTCATCAAGCAGGTCACACTCAAGGATGTAAAGAATGCCATGGAGAGCTCCTATTCGGCTCGGCATGTGAGTGCTGCGAAGTGTTGATTCCAGAAGGCGACTTACTGGCTCTGCTACAGCTTTATCCTGAAATAAAAGATAAAATAATGCATGGAAAGGCATACCAAATTAGATCATAAGGTGGTGACTACAGCTAAAGTTAATTTTTAGCTTAAAAAATAATGAAGCAAAGGTTCATGAGGAAAATACTCTGGTGATTTTATAATTATGTGTCAAGTTAAAAACATGCAATACACTTCCTTTCAAGTTTATTAAGATTCCATATCACCTGATTTTTTTCTAAAAATGAGACACCACTTAACTCCTTGTGGGTCATTTGTTGAAATAAATGTCAGAGCTTGTTTGTACCATGCCGAGGAAGATGTGAGACTTGGATATGAGGCAGATTCTTATTACACATTATGCTGAAATCTTTAGATAAGACGAGAGTCTATGAATATAATTGGAAATGACTTCTTCACATTAACTTACAACACAGACTATGATGTCATGATGTGCAATGGAGTGCAATCAGAGAACGCTATAGGGTCTGGTTTGGAGAACCAATGTCCCAGACTACACCCTTCTACTATGGTCCACAGTAACTTCCTATTATGTTGCAATATTCAATAGTATCAGCCTTCCATCTGTGGCTCAGCCAGTTGCTTGTGGCTCAGCCAGTTGCTCTTCCTTCTGCTGAGTCTCCCTTTGTTTCTTGGTTGAAAGTGCTTGGTTTGCACTATTCCATTAGTGCAAACTAGAGATGGGGGTATTCGTACCCCTGCACAGGTGGACATAATGAGTGTCCAGTCCCCTGGGGCCGGACCATCCACTCACCCGTCCGCTGCTCCGGCTCCACACTCCCTTCCAATCACTCTGGAGCTCATGGCCGATTAGCCACTTGTCAGCCTGGCAGGGAGGCTCATCCTCCCTCCTTCTGCCAGGAGTGGCTAGTCAACTGCAAGCTCGCACATTATCAGTTTCTCACATTGTTGTGGAGGAATTTTGTCCCACTCTTCTTTACAATGTTGCTTCAGTTCATTGAGATTTGTGTGCATTTGTTCATGCACACAGCACACCACAGCATTTCAATTTGTTTGAGGTCTGGACTATGACTGGGAGTGCATTAAATAGGTTTCAATGCATTCCAGTGGGGAAACTGTTTTCGCTGGATGATGTTTTCGCTTAATAGTGATTTCAGGGGAATGAATTATCGCTGTCGTGCGGGGCACCACTGTATGTTAAAACACATCTGAATGCGCCAGACCAGCAAACTGCTAAAACTTCGGCTTTTATAGGTGGTCACACTTGCTGATGATCAATTACTCAAGAGCATTTAGTTAGCAACACCTGGCTGCTACTTTGCCTCTTAATTCCTATGGAAGCAGTAATGGTGTACTACACATGGCTTCTCCATGTTCACTTTATTTTTGTTAAATAAATCATGATGCAGTGCAATATGTCATGTGTTGTTCTTCATCTGAGGTTGTATTTATCTAATTTTCAGACCTGCTAAGGACCAGATGATTTTTATTATGTCTTGATACATAAAACCACAGAATTCAGAGGGTATACTTTCTTTTTCACATGACTGTATACAAAGAAAATACTGAACTGACCATAAAAGACATTACTGATGGGAAAAGTGGCAAAGGGCACTAGGAAAAGAGAAAGAGACAGATTTCTCAATAAAGGAATCCCCTTGACAATGCTTAAAAACTGTCCCTGTTTTTCCAAATGTAGTTTTTCTGTTGCATTCAACAATACCTGGCCATTCCTGTCTTTTTCTCTAGCCAACAAGAATGGAAGGATAAATGACAACCAAGAATGAAAATAAAAGAACACTGCAGATTTACATGCTTCTGCCCATTATGTAAGAATTTTTACTGCAAGGAGAATAGGGCTCTTTAGCAGGCATTTTTAAAGGAAATGCATGGAAATGTCAAGTCCCTGCGTAGCCAGTAGGTCCAGCAAGCCAACGAAAGTCTGCTGACAGACATTCTTGCAAGAAAACATCCCTTTGTTGAGAAGACAGTGGGCAGTATAGTGGAACCTCTACTTACGGACTTAATCTGTTTTGGAATGGTGGCCATAAGTCGAAACATTCGTAAGTAGAAGCACCATTTCCCATAGGAATGCATTGAAAACCAATTAATCTGTTCTGGTCGAAGAAAAAGCACCAATTTTTTTTTTAAAGGAGCAGAGCAAGCCCAGTCGGAAGGTGCTCTGTTGCTGAGGCTTTAAGAAAAAATCTAAAAAACAAACATTAGAGCCAACTCCGTTGCTTAGGTTTAAGGGGAAAAAACTCCAGAGCCCTGCAGACACACACACACACACACACACACTCCTTCGAAGCAGAGCACAGAAACATAACCTCCCTGCAGACACACACACACGCTCACTCTGAAGCAGAATCACTAACAACATAGTATAGAAACACCAAAAACCACCCAGAACAGTTTTTCTAAAGGAGAAAACAGGAGCTTACCTCCCTGCACACACACACACAGGCTCACTCTGAAGCAGGAGGCTCTCCCAAGCCTCCAAGTGCGACACACCCTATAACTGCCAAAAGAGCTACAGCACAAAGAAGCAACCTCGGCGCCACCTACAGTTAGAAAGTTGAATTGCCCGCCTTTTCCCCTGCCTTTTTTCTGTTTGTATCTTGAAGCTCCATTTGCAAGTAGAAGAAAAATTTTGCGAACAGAGCCGTTTGTAAGTTGGATCGTTTATAGGTAGGGACGTTCATAAGTAGAGGTTCCACTGTACTATATCATCATCTGGATTCTCCTCCCCAACCACCAAATTCGAAGCATGACAATGTGCTATTTTTAGCAAGAGCTGGGAAAAAACAAGGTAACTCTGCACATTATGGCACAGATCATTGTTTGTGGCCCCAGGAGACTGTCTTTAAGGAAAGGATACTCTCAAAAAATAAAAGTTTCTCTAACCCTGCCTTAGGTCAATACTTCTTGGTGTGTTTTAATATGTGAAAATAGAGGAATGTGTGTGTGATTTTTCTTGTTTGTCTCCAGTATTGCAGACTGTACTGTAGACATGGATACCACAAGATTTACGTCATTGCTAGGAGGAGAACTGGATGTCATCAGTATAACAAAAAGGAAATAAACTAAAAACAGAAATAGTGTTGCACCTCAAATAACAATAGATTTATTTCAGTGTGAGATTTTGTGAATTACAATCCACTTCCTCAGACACATGTGCATATAACTGGTACTCAACTGCAGAGAACTTCTTCTAGACATTCCAAGTACTGGTTAAAGACCTTGAGGAACAAACCAAGAGCTCAGCACCACCGAGGTGAAGAGAGTATTTCCCAGCAATGCACTGGAATAATACAACTCCAGCAGAGTGCCTCTGATCCCCATCTCAAGACAGAATCCAAAAGGCTAGCATGGTTAAAATTACTGCAAGCAACTGAGAACTCCAGCAGAGAGAGGAACGTGCTCTTATGCAGGGCTTCAAATGAACAAAAGCAGATTGAGTTCCCAAACCAGGTCAGAAATAGACCTAAAAGATCACTAACACTAGCCTGAAATACCTTATAAAAACAATAACCTACCATTCCAAGGACAGCTGCTGCTTTACAAGTAGCTGGTACCAAATACTGAATAAGTATTTCATCTTCTGAGGGATGCACCTTCCGCAGTTCTGTTAACGTAGTGTACATCATTTCAAATTGATTCCTTTCTGTAAATAAGTCAGATACAGCTAAAAGCTGCAAGTAGAAAATACAACACGTTACATAGTTGTTTGTGGTCAGCAGTCAGTTTAAGACAGCATAGTACATTTGAATGTGCTTTAACAGAAAGAAACTTGAAAATGGAGATGCTCAAATACTTGATGTTATTTAAAGAAAAACTGTATATTTTTTAAAAATCATGAACAGAACATTGGGCTTACTATAAGTGCTAGAGTAAAGAGAAGAGCAACTGCTCCCATTTGGTTCTAAGAGGCAAGGCTAATCAGGCAAATTTCCTATCACTTCCACAGAAAAAGAAGTCACCTGTAGCTCTGGTTCTTTGAGTGGTCATCTGTGAATTCACACTAATGGGTTAATCTGAGCCTTAGCAGAGCAGGCTCGGAACCTTCTATAGCTTTAAGGCCCTCCCCCTAGGCTATATCACCACCCCAGCACCAGGTGCCTCAGTTCCATAGAACTGTCCGCCGCTGCACAGCACGCCAAATAGAGGACATAATATAGAGCGGGGAGGCAGGGCAGAGAGTGTGAATTCACAGATGATCACTCAAAGAACCAGAGTTACAAGTAACTTCTTTTTCTCTTTCGTGGTCTCTGTGAATGCACACTAATGGGTGGCTAGCAAGCTGACTTACGAGGAGGTGGGTGTCACGACAGGACAGAGGCCAGGACTGCTCTCCCGACGGCAGCTTCTGCTTTAGCCCGGACATCCGGATGGTAATGGGCTGCAAAGGTGAAGGGTGTGGACCACGTTGCTGTTTTGCAAACGTCCGACAATTCCACTCCCCAGAGGAAGGCTGTGGAAGATGCAACTGCTCTGGTAGAGTGGGCCTGAATGGTGCCTGGTAGAGGGATATAAGCAAATTCATTGGCCAATTTTATTGTAGATACCACCCACCTGGAAAAAGTTTGTGGGGAAACTGGCGACCCTTTAGTCTGTCCATCAAAAGCAATAAGGAATCTTCTGGAAGAACGAAAGGATTCAGTTCTAGAGAGGTAATACGCAAGTGCTCTTTTAACATCCAGTGAGTATAGGGATCTTTCCAAGTTCAAGGACGGGTTAGGAAAGAAAGTGTGAAGGACTATAGGCTGATTCAGATGGAATGACATGGCAACCTTTGGGAGAAAAGAGACATCAGGAAAAAGGATAACCTGGATGGAACTGCAAGAAAGGAGGGTCCAACTGCAGAGCCGTCAACTCACTAGCAAGCCTGGCTGAAGTAATAGAAACAAGAAAAGCTGTTTTCATAGTGAGCAGTTTCAGAGACGTGGATGCCAAAGTTTCAAATGGCGGCAACATTAGCTTCTTCAGAACTAAACGAAGTGACCACTGAGGTGTGGGTAGCTTGTAGGCAGGTTGCGTGTTCTTTTAGAAACTGCTTCAGTGTTGGGTTCTGAAATAGTTTGGCTGCATCCAAAGATGGGGGTTGGTGAGCAACCACTGCCGAAATGTAAACCCTGAGAGTTGAGCGAGACAGACCATGGCGAAAGAGGAGGAGAATGAAGCGGAGCAGGGCATCCAGCGAGGTAGGAGAAGCAGGTAAGTTATTTTTGGAAGTAAAGTCTAGAAATGCTCTCCACTTGTGGGAGCATGTGGTAACAGTGGATGGCCTACGAGCGTGCTGCAGAACCTCAGCTATAGAGGGGCCAACCTCCAGGCCGTCAGATGCAATGAGATCTGGATGGAAGATTGTGCTGTTGTGTAAGGATAGTAGATGAGGCAGCTTTGGAAGGCGAAGATGATCGATGGACATCTGACAGAGCGGGGAGAACCACACTTGGCGAGGCCACCACAAGGCTACAAGAATTACACTGGACTGTTGTTGGCAAGCCTTGACTATCACCTTTTGGATTAGAGGGACGGGAGGAAACATGTATAGGAGATCCTCCGTCCAGGGTGTCATGAACACATCGCCTAGTGAGTTCGGTCCAATTCCCGCTCTGGAGCAATACTGTTTGCATTTCTTGTTTATGGCGGAGGCAAACACATTGATGGACAGCGTGCCCCACCGACTGCAGAGAGAGTGGAAGATGGCATTGTCCAACTCTCACTTGTGGGTGGAGTCCCGTGGATGATTCAGGCCTATATGGATAAGGCATGGGATAACGAAGGGTGGAACCAAAATGGCGGCTGGGAGAAATGTCGAGTATCATCCCAGAAAGAAGGTCCATGCTGTTCCATTCAAGGCCAGTTGGGTATGAGGTTGGACTCAAGGTGACGGGTCTTTTGCTTCTTTTTCCTTGGGCCGTCAGCTGTTGAGCCAAAAAGGGACCCAGGAGTAGCCGGTAGTTTGGGCTCAACAATTATCAAAGGTACCGGTGTTGGAGATCGACTACAGTGAGGCGAGAAAGCCTCATCCCAGTGTGAGGGCGGACTGTCCTCCGGTCTCAATGGAGTTGCTGTGGGTCCATGTCGAGCTGAAGCAATCAACACCGAAGGAGACAAAGGAAGAGCAGGGTGAGCCTGTTTGGATGCCTTTTTCTTCTTCTTTGACATCAAGCTCAACGGGGACTTCAATGTCGAGATGGTCGATTTTGAGCCCAAAGAAACGGGCTTTGAGACCCTGTGGACATCGGCGTTTGGAGGAGTTGCAATCGGTGAAGTCTCCGATGAGGGAGGGAGAGACGGCTCCATTTTGCAGGCTGGTTCAAGAGACTGTTTCCACAAATGGGAGCAAAGTCTCTGCTGCCTCTGCTTCAAAGCTGGTTTCATAAATGCTTTGCAGTGCATACAAGAGGCAGGTTGGTGCTCCTCACCCAAACAGAAGAGACACAAAGAGTGGCCGTCAGAAAGGGGAACCTTGACGTTACAAGTGGCGCAGCACTTGAAAGGCCCCAAAGAGGTCATAAAGTACAACTTGGACTTTGCTTACAAGTCCAAGTTGTAATTGAAAGGACATTCAGGAAAGCCAAAGTCAATAGAGGAGGGAGATCCAAGCCGAGGAATAGGAAAATTTTAAACGGACAAAACACACAAGCTCCGGTTACTGATGCTGCTGAAGTGGCAGCAGGAAACGGAACCAAGGCACATGGTGCTGGGGGTGGTGATATAGCCTAGGGGGAGGTCCCAGCACCATGTCTTTAAAGCTATAGAAGGTTCCCAGCCTGCTCTGCTAAGTCACAGATTAACCCTTTTAGCGTGCATTAACAGAGACCACGAAGGAGAAATGCTCTTTCTTTGTTGTAACAGGCTGCTTATGGTAAATCCAGTCAAATAAAAATGCTCCATGCCATTGTGTGTTAACCCGAGAATAACAGAAAACAAATTACACTAAGTAACAGTAGAGTGACAGATGCAACATCTGTTCTTCTCAATCCATACTTAAATGCCGTTCCCTGAGGAAGGCCAAAAAGACAGCTGAGAAGGAATCATGCCTTTTCAATAGTGGCCCCTGTCATGGATTGATTTATGTGGATTAAATTTTGTACTGAAGATGGGATATGTAGTAGTGAACAATGTAAAATGGATTCCATATTGGTTCTCTGTATAAATGATTTCTGCATGCTGACAGTGTATTTCTAGTGGGATGTGGGAATGTTTTCTTGTAGGCCTGAGGAGGACATTCCTAGATAAGAAGACTGGTCATTTGTTATGGCGGAATTGCGAACGTGCTGAGGAAAACAACACCTGTTTCTCATGAGAAGAGAAGAGAGACGATAAGGAAGGACTGTTTACCTGACTTCATGCTGTGATTGGATGACAGCGTGAGAGACGGAGAAGAAGGGGGGTTCCAGCTAAGCTTGAAAAAGGAACTCTTACTATGGACAAGAGACCTTTCCTGATTTTTTCTTTATTGGACCTTTTTGGACTAGGTCTTGTTGCCTGCTGAGCAGTGCAGGTAACAGACTGATAGAGCTGTAGGGGGACTAGGTAGAAAGGGGGGCTTTTAATAGATTTTCTAGGATTTCTAGTGTTTTCATATTTAAAGAGAATTGTTGCTTCTTTTATATTTTATATCAAGCCTTGAAAATGATAACATGCTTGCTTATGCATTAAACTGACTTTATTTTGTGAATTTTTATATCTTTTTAAATAAAATAATTATAAAAATCAATTGGTCTCTTGAACAGTATAGCTGTCTTAGTATTACCCTGAGGGGGAAATTTGGGCCACATTTAGCTACTGAGTCCTACCCAGATTGAGCAACGTGAGTCTACTGACTACATAGCTCATGTGTATTTCTTTTTTGGAATTTTCTAAGGTTGCTGAAGTATCTTTTTTAGGGCAGACATGTAAGCAGAAGTTGTGGGGTGGCCCTTGGCTGAAGTTACCAGGACTCGACTCAGCCTAATAAGGGAGCACAGGCTTCTAATTACTCTCTGTCTGAACGGTCAAGCATCTCTTAGGAGAGCTGATCGCTTACAGCCCCCAGCCTCTGGAACAAGTTATCAACAGAGACATGCCACTCTCCTTTCCCTCCTTATGTTCTTTTTTTGAATTTTATTTAAATTCAACTAAGACATCAACATAGAAAATCAAAAACAGAGAAAAGAAGAAAAATCCTTCTACTAATCTAAACCTGCCCCCCTTTTGAGTCAGAGACTCTAGCCTCGTTAACCCTCCGCTCTCCCCGGTTGGGTTTCCAGTGTGCATTGAATACATATACATATACTGTATAGTCAAATTTGCCCTACATTCCTGTCTTCCTCTGGGCCCAAGAGTATATTAATTCCCAGCTTTGTTTTACATAGTCTTTTGATTGTTCCCGTAGTGCTTCTGA